AAAAGAAACGAAATTGAGCTATTTGTAATGAGGTGGATAGACCTAGAGTCTGTCATACAAAGAAACAAAAAAAAAAAAAAAAAAAGCAAATACCATTGCTGGATTCTTAGATCTTAGATCTGCCACATCTAGTGCGTATCTTACAGTCCCTCTTGGCCGTTAGCCCTTAACTCTTCCTCATATCTCAGCCCTTTGATGATTCTGGTTGTGTTTTCATGAGTCCTGTTGGCCATGATTACATCTTTCCTGAAGCTGAGTGACTAGAATCACTAAGCACCCTATGGGCGAGGGTTGTACGGGGGTGAAACAGGGCGGCCCCACCTTCTCCACTCTCCCCGGTCCTCTCCTGGAGCACATGATCACTTTCTGTGCTTCTGGCATAGTCACAGGTGGACTTGTGCTCACTTGCCACCGCCTGGGGAGTTCCTTGAGGTCCAGGGCTGTGTGGTGGGCACCTGTTCTTTTTGCCTGTCCAGCAACTCTCCCCCATCTTCCAAACACAGCCCCTCAGGTTCCCCTTGGGAACTGCTCCCCTCTTCCTCTTACTCCTCGTGGTTTGGGTGAGACTCACACCATCGCCCAGGTTAATGGGGTGGCCCAGGAGTGGCCAGGCAGACCCTGCCACCCCCACCAGGCACAGGGCGGCGACTGGCTCAGGGATGGGAACGGGGCCCCAGCCAGACCTACGGGGGCCCTCCTCAGCACTTTTGCTGGGACTATTAGGAAGGATGTGTTCTCTTCCCCTCGAGGTGGGATGTAAGTGTGGGGTTTCCAGTGGCTGCCTTGACCTCCGTGCGGGAAGTACCTGCCTGAGATGATTCCAACGTGAGAAAACAGAACTGAGAGTTGGGGAGTGACTGATTTCAGCGACCCAGTTTAAGTGCCTGGATCCAACTATGCCTGAAGCCAGTGTAGCATCCTGGATTTGTTAATGTCACAAGTCAATACGTTTCGTTGTTTAAAGTCATTTACCTTGGGCTCCTGTCCCTTCAAGCAAAGGGGCACTAACTAATACAGTCTGTGTCTCCCTCATTGCAATGTTCTCCTTCATACCAGTGGTAATGCTAGGCACTGAGAAGGTACTCAATGGAATCCTAATGAATGAATGGAAGAATAATGTCACCAGCATCTTGTGGGCAGCTGCGTTCTGGGCAGATGTCTAAGAACTCAGCCCAGTGATTGCACACCCACTTCTTGGGTCACAAGGCAACGCAGATAAGCATCCTGAGTTTTCACCTTCCTCTATGCCCAATATAAAGTTCAGAGGCTGGTTTTCTACCCAGTCTTGTAACTACATTTCCAAGTCAGTTTCAGTTTATTCCCACAAAACTCCTCCGTGGTGAACTTAGAGCCATTGGCAACCCTGGCAGGTTTCTCTCCTTTTGATTATTGATGACAATGTCAAACAAAACATAAATAAGAAAGTACGGCCCAGCTCCCTGGCTGCATGACCGTGGGCAAATTGCTTGCGGTCCTGGTCTCTGCTTCCTTAGCTGTAAAATGGGTGCAATAACTGTACCGATGGGGTTGAGGTGCCTGCCACACAACTGGCACTCCAGCAAAGGTGCCTTTTCAGGCTTCATTTGATGACAGCTCAGGGGCACTCCCACTCTGCAGGTCTCCATTTGGAGGTGTTCTAGCTCTACTTTCTAATTTCCTGTCATCAAGCCAGCTCTCTCTTGGTGACAACACATCCCCCAAATTTTATGGCAGCTCCATGTTGACATATTTTTTTAATGGCCTTTGTGCTGCAACCTCATCTCTGGATCTGTTCAGCTATGTTATTGGTCGGTGCCCTTCGATCACACACGTATTGACCTCTCGATTAATGAGAGGCAATTTGCTCATAAAGAACTATGACAGGGGCTTCCCTGGTGGCGCAGTGGCTGGGAGTCCGCCTGCCGATGCAGGGGACACGGGTTCGTGCCCCGGTCTGGGAGGATCCCACATGCCGCGGAGCGGCTGGCCCGGTCCGGGGGGATCCCACGTGCCGCGGAGCGGCTGGGCCGGTGAGCCGTGGCCGCTGGGCCTGCGCGTCCGGAGCCTGCGCTCCGCAGCGGGAGGGGCCGCGGCGGTGGGAGGCCCGCGCGCCGCAAACAACAAAGAACTATGACACTCTCCTCGCAGACAAGTCACATGTATATGATTCAATGATTGCCCAGGTGTTCAGTGGCACCGTCCAGCCTGCCAGAAACTGAACAAAAACATTCTGTTCCTGGCATTAATGATGATAAAAACCCACATAGGTCTAATCAGCACAAGCCTGGGTTTGAGGCTGCCCCTGGGATGGAGAGAGATGAGTGCAGAGCAGCTGGGCACATGGGATGTTGCCTGGCATTTCTGGCTGGTCCTGGAGAGTTGATGTATTCAGAAGTTCTCTATGGGGGGTGCGACCGCCTTGCAAGGAGGCATCTGGAATGCGGGCAGGTATTGTTGTCATAGATACTGGGGGTCTTAGTGGAATTAAGTAAAGGGGTGGGTAGGCAGGGATGCTAAACTCCTACAACACATGGGACAATCCTGCACCGTAAAAACTTGCCCCATGCGACATGCCACCGGGGCCCCAGTTGACAAGCACCGGGAATCCAGCCCATCAGACAAGGCTGAATTCACATTCAGAATAACAACCTGCAGACTCTCTGACCTACAAGACCCCAAGCCCAGCCCACGACACAAAGCCCCACATTAGTACCCCTGTCCTTCCCCCTCCGGCAGATCTGTCTGGGGGGCCTGCGGTATTCCTCTGTTTGTTTTGTGCTTTGATTTGAATTCATTACCAACATTTTAAAACTCAGGAGATTTCACCACACAAATCCAGATTTCCAGCTCCTCTGGCCACCTTGGAGGATATGGACCCCTTGGCCCGTGAGAGTTCCAGGTGCCCACTGTCCCCACTGAGCCAGCTTCACTCCCTGACTGTCCCCTCCTAGCATCGGAGTTTGCAAACCCAGCTTTCTGTAAGGTTCCAGGCCTGAAGACAAACCACAGTGACTGCAAATAAACTTGTGCAGCCCTGCAAAGGCACGGAGGACACAATACCCGCTCTCTTTCAAACCAGACCACAAGCCTTGACCCCAGTCACTACACATGGCATGGCTGCACGCTTTTGTAAGAACCAGCACTCCAGAGTCAAAATCAGGACTGACTGAACTTTAAATGACATCAACCAACTTCAAACACAAGTGTAAAAGGACTCCTCCTTTATACAACAAGGCATGATTACAGGCTTAGATTTCCAGGGACCTTCAAAGCCTGTGAGATCACAGGTTGGCCTATTCAGGTGACTAATGCACAGGCCCTGCCAAATTCTAGCTTTTCATGGCAAACCCAGCTTCTCCCAGAACCGAAGCAGGGAAGCGAGAGGTGGCTCTGACACGTCGAACAGTTTGCTACAGCTCAATCAAAAGATGCAATTAAATCAGTGAATGGAGAAATAGCAACTGGGATGGCAGATATTATTCCAAGCTTCTGAGTGGAGGGTGACTGCATCCCATTCCTACGTGAAAGAGTCTGCATGCTGTTAATAAATCTAAATAGGATTTTGATTTGGCTAATATTAAGGGCAGCCGTTGAGCGGCTTCATCTTACCGGTTCCTCTGCTGGAGCAATATTAAATACTCATCGTGTTTCTCATCAAAGTCTGTCACCATGTCCTTAGTGTAACCCTGAAATGAAGAAACAGAGCGGTGTGATATCGAAATGCAGGGAAGCTTTACTGAAGCCTGGGTACAGCACACACCACACAGGAGGCCGAGAGGCAGAGAGGCTGACCTTGACGAAGGCCCAGTTCCCTGGGCGCATCACCCTGGTGACCCAGAGCCCCAGAGACTGTCTGATGGCCCACTGGGTCTTGAACATACACAAATAACAATCTACGAAAATGAGAAGGTCGATTCCCCAGCCTTGCCACTGTTCTTTCCTCCCATGTCCTATAAAATCAAGGACTCTGAGAAGACTTGGGCTTTACTGTTTTCTCCACACTCATGATTTTGTGATCTCAGTTGTCCCAACCAGATGGAACCCAGATCAGTTGTTTAAGAGGGGAAGCTCAGGCTTCCCTGGTGGCGCAGTGGTTGAGAGTCCGCCTGCCGATGCAGGGGACACGGGTTCGTGCCCTGGTCTGGGAAGATCCCACGTGCCGCGGAGCGGCTGGGCCCGTGAGCCATGGCCCCTGAGCCTGCGCGTCTGGAGCCTGGGCTCCGCAACGGGAGAGGCCACAACAGTGAGAGGCCTGCGTACTGCAAAAAAAAAAAAAGAGGGGAAGCTCGTCTTTCTCTTGCCATTGTAAGAAAAACGCATGCTTATTATAAACAACTCAGTCATTACAAAAATATATGACCCCCCCACAAAAAATATATGACCCAGAGAGTGAAGGCTCCTTTAAAGCAGACATTTGTGGTTTCCTGCTTCCTCTTCCGGCCACAGAACTCTGAATTTCTTCGGGGGAACTATTCGGCCCCCTTTATTCAGTTCACTGGCTTCCTTAGATGCCCATGAAAGTTCCTTTGGTCTCCTCTTGGGTCACATGACCTTGGCCTTGGTCTCAACCATCAACATAGTTCTTCCCTCAGCCACAAAGATTCACTAGTCTAGGGATGAGCCGTGGCCTGAGCACGGCCCTTGAAAGTCAGCCCTGGGACTTTGCTAATACTCCTGGGGAAAAAGCTGTTCTCTTTCCACTGGGGTGCTAAAGTGTTGAGATGCAGGCCTGGAATTGCCTGAGAATGAAGTCAAGAAAGAAAACAGCAGATCCCAGAGATGGAGAGAGAGAGATTCCCAATAACATAATTTGAGCCCCTGGATCCACCCATGCCTGAAGGAGTACTGGAACAACTTAGTTATTGCTCTAAAGTTTCAGCTGAGTTTCCGCCCTTTGTAGCCAAAAGAATATAAGTCAAATACCGTAACCTGACCGTTAGAGATAACCCCTATTAGAATTTGTTACAGCTTTATGGAGGGATAATAAATGTATAATAAACTATACATATTAAAAGCGACATGTATATACCAGTAAAACCCCCATTACAATCTGATACATATTTCTCTAGATGTTTTTCTTTGTGTACAATATACATATGTTCATATTTATAAATACGCACACAAACACACACATTCTTTTAAACCAAAGTAGGATTATACTGTTAACAATGCTTTGTAATTTTCTATGTTTCTTAACTAACTTTTTGCCAAGGAATGGATTAAAGGGACAATATCAGCTTCATTCTAGTCACAAGCCACAGGGATTAAGTGTTAAATGGCAAGTTAGACACATCTGTAAGAGAAACACAATTTGTGTGAAAATCCTGACGATTATCATGGGAAGAAGAAGAAAAAAGAATCTCCATCACTCTGTTCTCAGCGCCTCAAAATCTGGCCTTAACCCCACTAATCTACCAGAACTCTCCCCAAGGGTGACTCATAACCTCCTTAAGCAAATATAATAGCTCTTCCCAACTCATCCTTTTCGACTGCTCCAGGCCACGGGGAGCTGTTCCCACCCATCCGTCCCCAAATTCCCCTCCTGTAGCTTCTGCGGTTCTGAGTGAGCCTCCCTTCCCTCCTGCGCCTTCTCTGGCTGCCCTTCCTCCTTGGCCTTGGACGTGGATGGTCACTGTCTCTGTCCATCTCACCTCTCTGGGTCTCTCTCCCTCTGTCTTCTCTTCTTCCGATACAAGGAAATGGGCCCCCTGGATGGGGAAGCCAGAGAGTCACTGCTAGTCCAGGGCTGACAGCCCAGTCCCCTTCTCTCCCCTTTTCCTATAGGACTCCAGGTTGTGGCCATCTGCTTCCCTCTTTCCCTGTCACCCCCACTTTTCCTCCCAGGCTCCCCTCTCTCTGGGCCACCTGGGGACAGGATGCTGTACTTCCATCTTCTCTCACCCGATGACTCTGAAGCCTCTGGGTTTTCCTGGGGTTTTCCGGCTTAACTAATCTGGCCAATCAGGAAGTGGGGAATAATAAGAAAGGGTGATTTTATGAAATCATAAGAAATTTAAACAAACTAGCAATAGGTGTTCCTATTCCTATTTCCCTGGCTTCCTGAGATGCCCAGAGATGCTCCCTCGTCCTCCTCGGGACTGAGCCCTGCCTCACCTTGACTGTGAGAAAAGCACTGTGACCTCAGCCCTCTGGACAGCTGGTTGGTTGCGGGACACTGGGTCTGGAGAGGATCCTCAGTTCCTTCCACAACAACATGTGTACGATACGGACAGTTGATGCAGCAATTCCATATACACGATTCTCCTTTGATCTTTGTAGCAGCCTTTGAAGTGGTTATTATTACCCCATTTAAGATACAAGGAAACCCATCCCATGCATCTCCCCGGAATACGGATCCTACTCCATGGCAATTTACAAAACCATTTTGAGATATTAAAATGACCACTGATATATTATGGTATGTAATGAAATAGCCAATGACATTTTTAGATGAAATATGAGACTTCAGAGAAATCTCAGCTTGGGGTGGGCTGTCCTGGGCTTTTACCTCAAACCCTCAGGGAATACATTTATTCGCCTCTGCCAGGAGGGAGGTGTCATAGGAAAGATTTGAAGAGCTCAGGCATATATCCAGCCAAACTACTCACCAGCCCCGTGCTTCTCAAATGCTGATGTGAACACAAATCACCTGGGGATTGTGCTGAAATGCAGGTTCTCCTTCAGTAGGACTGGGAAGGGTCCCAAGCCCACACGTCTAACAAGCTCCCAGGCAATGCCCGTGGACCACACTTAGCCAGCAAAGCCCTAGACCAGCCCAGCTTATTCCCCACTATTCACAATATGCCCACTTCTAATCAGATCAGCACTGAACTTGAGCTGTGAAGAATGTGAGCTTTGGAGTCCAGGCCTAGCTCCAAGTCACAACAGTGCTATGTGTTTCCTTATCTATCAAATGGAGGTAACAGTAGTACCTGTCTGGTTGGATTTGTCTTTCCCTCACAGGGTCAAAGGTGGGTTGGATGCAATAACAGTAAAAAAACCATAGCACAGCACCTGGCACTTGGCTAGCTCTCAATGAACGTTAGTTACATTTGCATTTATGGAGTTCCATTATTTAACTAGTACAATCCTGGCCCCTCCCCACTCCCAGCCAGCTCATTGCTATCCTGATGCCTTAATCGTTCGATTCCCTTTCCCTCCAGCCTCCACCCAAATCCTCTCCAAGGCCCAGCTCAGCTCCCCAATTCTCCACGAAGCCTTCCCCTACCATTCTCACCCCCGCTCACTTCAGCTCATTCTGAAACCCTGCAATTAGTATTAAATTATATACAATACAGCGTGAAATCATATATAATTAAGTGCTACATTGTAAGCCTTTAACTATATCTATTGCTCACTCATTATCTGGGGATTTGGAGACCTGGAGGTGAGTCCTGAACTCTGCTACTTACCTTCTCTGAGCCTCAGTTTCCTCATCTGTAAAAAGGGAATAGTAATAAGGTCTACCTGGCAGGGCTGCTCTAAGGATTAACTAGGAGAAAAGTAGAAGTAATTTAGGATCCGTTTCTTTCTTCTTCCTATTGATCCCCCAGCTGGATTATAAATTCCTGGAGCACAGAACTGGGGAAGGAGGGGACCATCATGTGGGGAGCCTGGAGTCCTGGGTTCGGGTCTCAGCTTCAGCAACATCCAGCTCCGTGACGATAACTGCTAAGGCTGACCAAGTACCCACCTGGTTAACCCTCACCCTGGTCACACATCAGACACTACCTTTCCCCAGCACGGCATATTTCCCTTTGCTGAGGCTTTATTTCTCAGGCTATAAAGCGGAGGCATTAATTAATATTTAAGGCATCCCACAAAGGTGGGAGAAACTTAGGAAGCGCCAGGTTTATCATCACTGTGTTTCAGCAAACACTGATCAAGTGTTTACTGTGTGGCTGTTACCTATGCAATGAGGGTTTAACAAAAAACTGACCCAGTGTGCATTCAAATTCCCACGTGCCTGTAGACAGTACCCAACCACCAGCCAGGGGCCGATCTGCACAACTCTGCCCCCATTCCTGTTGTGTGCAGTGTGAAATGGCACCCCCTGCTTTCATGTACCCAGTCAAGCAACACACACTGGCCAGGGGTCCCTAATATGGGGGATGGCCCGCAGGGGGCTCTGGGGACATCGATTCAACTGAATGCACAAGGGTACTATTCTGGGAAGAGAGTCCATAACTTTCATCACAAAGGGTGTCTGAGGCCCAAAAAAAGAGACAAGTGATGACAGCAAAATGTATAAAATGTGATGCCAAGGATCTGAAGGAGGGAAAAGAGAAGGCTCCTGAGGGCACGGCCAGGCCCAAATCCTTGGGAGTCATCTTCGAAGCGTAACTCATTAACTCACTCTCCCACTCCACGTCCAATCCATCAGCTCCATGTGAAAAATACCATGTATCCAAAAGCTGACCGCTTCTCTCCACTTCCTCGCTACCACACTGGTTCAGGACCCTTCACTGGCCTCCGGCTCCCGCCCTCACCCCTACAGTCCGTTCTCCTTTCTACAGCCGGGGGTCCTGATGAAAGGGAAGTCGAATCATGTCACTTCTCTGCTCTGGACTCTGCATGGGTCCCAGCGGCCACCAGGCCCTGCCCACTGGGCCTCCATCCACGTCCCTGACCTCCTCCCACTGCTCCACCCTCCTCCTCATCACTGCAGTACCCGCAACACCCAGCATGTGCCCACCTCAGGGCCTTAGACCCACCGTTCCTTCCCCCACGTAAATACCCAGATTCCTCACCAGCCATCCTATTTAAAATTGCAAGCTGTGCGTGCGCGTGTGCACACATGCGCGCGCGCACACACACACACA